GAGGCAGTGGGTGAGAGTAAGCAGGGCTGCTGAACGAGTCCAGGGTTTACGCAGAGGCCAGCCAAGCAGCAATGATACACAGCGCTGGAGGAGAAGGACACAGGGGAATGGGAAAGAAGAAAAGTGGTGGAAATGAGAGCAGAGAACCAGAACGAAAAGGAAAGAAGAGGACATACTAATGTCCTGCAATCGGAGCTGGATATGTTCAGAATCAAAACATTCCCCTTAAATGTCTGTATCTACATATATACATACAAATAGAAAGAGACCGAGATAAGATCAGGGATGGAGACAGTCATGGAGAAGGAGAAAAGCTAAAAAGAGGGGGGAAAGACAAAGGAATTAACAGGACATGCCCACTGCAATTTTCCAGTGTCTCTGCCAGAGAACAACAACGAAAAAAGAGGTCAGTCCAGATGTCATTCACTGACTGTTCACATGTGGTCCAACTTCTCTGGAGCCGAGGGGTGGAGAGATTGACAAAGAAAAGGGGTGTCAAAGATTAGATCATAAGCAGAACCTGGGCTTCATTTGGCTAGCAGATGTTGGACAGGTGGGGAGTCAGCTTTCCAGGAGTACTGAAGGGGGCAGAGGTCATGAGTTGAAGCTGCCACTTACTGTAACCTGTTCAGAAGCTTTTGTGATAACGACCCATCTGTATCAGATTCAGTCAAAGCTAGAGTTATTGATCAATAAATTTGACAAGTGGCAAGACAAGAAAAGCTGAGAAGTGGCGGAGCTTTGAGCCCCTGTAGCTGCCTCCACTCTTCTGTTCCAGATGATTGTTCGTTTGGCCCTGTTGCTCTTGGCTCAGTCGGTGGAAGAGGAGCAGCCTCCAGGCCTGGCCCTCCTCAGCCCCCTCAGCCACTGGGAGGTGAGCTGGGGTGGGTGTAAAATACTGTCGAGCGGATATATTTCTAAAATGAAATATGGATGTGTGCGCGCGCCTGTCTGTGTACGTGCGCCCGTGCAAGGTTAACTGGAGGTCAGCGCTCACTTTGCAGTCACAGACTTGGCGGCACTCCAATGTCGGAAAAGCAGCAGTAGTGTCTCTTTCCCACTCTCCTGCCCTGTCCCTCTCTCTGTACTCTTCCTCCTCATCCTCTTCTTCTCTGCAGTGTTACTGTAGTTCGTGTGCAGATAACATGCAGGGAGCCATGTGGTGTGGATCTGTGTTGAGCTCTGGGCTTAGCACTGTTGGAGCGGGGAGAAATGTGGGCTCAGAGCACGAGAAGTGAAGGAAATGAAAAGCCTAACTAGTTCACAAGTGAGACAGGAGTCAGATGAGCCCATGCAACAGGAGGAAACTTTTCTCCACACACTGCTGATGACTTCAGAAAAGGGGGCTGTCATGCTTGCCTCACAGGCAGTACTGGTATAGTAAAAATACAAAATAATACTGAGCTTTTAACTTAAAGTAAAGTTCACCGTTTGGGAAATACACTCATTTGCTTTCTCGCTGATAGATGAGGAGATCTGTACTCTCATGTCTGTAAGCTAAACCTGGGGCTTTGGGAATTAGTTCAATCTATATTCCACTTGAACATCAAATTGTGGCACCAATGATTGAAGCTTATTTTCCTGGGTATTATTTACATGGCGGCAAGCTTGCACAACTACTGCTGTGGCATATGCGTGGTTTTCGCCACATAATGTTTTCACCGAAGCACCTGCCTGTCGTCACAGCCCTTCACCATAGCGGCAGCAGCCGTATTTCAAAAAATGCTTTGCCTTTTTGGGGAAGACTCTTGCAGGTGGGTGGTTTTCAGGGCAGTTGCAGCTCATGGACTCCCCTCTTCTGTTCAGCCATGACACTTGACCTGTAATGGTCTAGAGCTTATGGGAAATATTGGTGTTCGTCAAAGGCCGCTAAAAAACAGAAATATCAGTGTTTGTGCTAAGATAAGCTAGAAGGCTGCTGGCTAGAGGTTCATATTTAGCAGGCAGACATAGAGAGTATCAACATTCTCATCTAACTCTCTGCAAGAAAGGAAATAAGTGTATTTCCCAACATGTCAAACTACTGCTTTAATAACCACAGCATTTGGCATTCATGAACTTTGTTTCTGCACCAAAACATTGTGCACTTTCTCACACACTAAAACAAAAAGCATGGAGAGTACATTGCATGTGAGACCACTTATGTGGAACCAGGTTATTTAAGCGTGTTGGATGAGTGTGTCTTACAAAAAAAGCACTGTATGTTTGTGTGAACCCTCATTATCAAATCACATAAAAACACAAAATAACGTTCTTGGCAAGGAGTTACAAAAAAACCCTTTTATCTTGATGGCAGTATGATAGTTCTCACCCTTGATGTGTCTTTTGAGTCTGCTGCCAACAACAACTGCTTATTGCAGCCCAATGTGCCAACCACAGATAGAGCAGTGTGTACAGTGGAGGCCAGCACACTGGGCTGATAAGGAGGCGTCTCAGACCGAGCTGACTGGGCCCACAATGAAATGAAATCTGGAGGGTTTGGCCTGCTGATAAACTGACAAGACCTTCATCATGTGCACTTTCATCCTCCTCCTCTCATCAGTGACCCACATCCAACTCTAGATTCCACAGCTTGCAGAGTTATTGCTTGGTTTCTATTCTGGTTTTGCCAGAGGGTTTAGGAGACTTGAGGGTATGTTTTGAGACATGAGTCTACTTTAGTAAGTTTATGAGTTTGTTACCCAGTTTTGTTGGTTTCTTGTCCTCTGTTTGAGCCCACAGAAAGTTTCCTGCCCTGTATGGTAGCTTACACTCACCCTCCTCCCCGGTGAGCGTCAATTATTCATAAGCCTTGGGTAGCTAACTTGAAACCGATAACCCACATGCTATTTATACTTCATTTGAAATGAACAAATACTTAACTGTGAAGTTCCAGGCAGCTTGATCGTGTCTGTCTGCATAGCTGCTGCTGGGCTCGGCGAAGGGGGTTGGACTGAGGGTAAGGTTGAGCGGGCTGGTTGGGAGGAGTGCGGGGTCATCCGTCTTCTATTTTTTGTATCCTGTTAGTTACTGAGGGAAAGGATCAGTTTGTCCATCAGAAAAATCAAATAATCTAAAATAAACTTCATTTGTAGACAGAAATTAGGAAAAAAGGAAGGAAGGAATGTTTTTTAAATATCAGTTAATTTTAGTACTTTTACACATTTGTAGTTAGTGTGCTTAGCTGCTACAGCTCTCACACTTTTGTTCTCTTCGCTCTTTATTATTATTATTATTATTATTTATTCCGCCATTTTTTGGCATCTAACTAGTCCTGTTCCGTTTGTCCTAGAAACTTGGTTCCAACTTCAAATTGTACATCTTCCTCATGAGATGGGTGCTATTACCTGTGTTGCTGATATCTGTAATGGTTGATTTTATATTAATATTTTTATGCATTTTAAAATGAATGGTTTCCTATGGGACTCCTCTTCCAACCTAGCAGGGGCGGAGCTAGATTCCCATAATGCATGGCAGTGAAGAAAGTTTTGCTAAAATTTGCTAATAAGTCTCCTATTTGTTTGAAATACAAAACAAATACTTTATGATTTATGTATTTGTTAAATGTGTCTGCTTAGAAAATAGTGTTTTTTGTTGGTAATTGTCATTCTTGTGGCGGTTTACTATTGAAACCAGGAGTGAAGTGCCTGTTTCATTTGATAAGAACAGCTGCATTGATAAATAAATAAAGAGACAGTCCTCAGAGTAATACTTCTTATGCCAGACAGTGATTTGAATCACAGCTTGCAAATTTATAGCGTAGTTTGAACTTGATGCTAACAAAATGTTGGGTCCTTACTGATTTTCAGTGGTTACTTTCAAAATTCTATGTTGTCAGTCCTTCTAAATGCAATCATTGTTAACATGATATTAAGTCTTTCACAGCACAATTCTTTGGCTGTGATGGCGCAATAGATAAGATGCCTTTGGTGTGAGAGACCCGGGTTCAATCCCCCACTGGGACCCATCCACCATTGTGTCTCTGAGTAAGACACTTAACCCCTCGTTGCTCCAGAGGCGTGCGATCTCTGACTTGTATAGCAATTGTAAGTCGCTTTGGATAAAAGCATCAGGTAAATGTATGTTCATTTATTTTATTCTTCAACAGTGGAGTAGCCATCACAGAAAATATGTTTATAAGCAAAACATGCCTTTTAGGAGCCATTTTTTGTCAGAAGAAGACATGATTGACAAAGAAACTTGAAAGCCTTCCCTTCACAGTGTATCTGAGTAGTCCGGTGGTGGAGGTCTCGCTCTTGCTCCTGATCCAGAGATTGATGGACGAAAAGGGGGCCAAACTTAACACACGTTTGCTGAACAAGTGTGCAGCAAATCATTAGTGAGTCTCTTAGCTGATGGAGCCGCACATTGCACCGACAGCTGTATCCCACCGTCATCCCATCATCCTCTGGGTCAGCACCTTACAGGTTAGCCATGGGGGTTTATCCATTTAAAAGCTAGAAGCTGCCCACTGGTGAAGCCATTTTTTCCCCCAGATTGAGAGCCTGTTCTTTCTGGTAGGTTTCGTAGTGAGATCAGCAATCCAGGTGATATTCCAATCAATGTATAAAAATCACTGCACATTCATTTTTAGTCTGATAGCTTCAGTTTATAAGCCTCATAGCTTCCAAGGCACAAATCAGGCCTTCAGCATGTTTTACGTTTCAGTTTTACCCGCACAATGAGTGCGCTTGTGTGTTTTAAGTATGTTGTATTGTGTCATATTTGATTTCTGTTATATTGCTTTTTAAAAAGAATCAGTCATTAAAATTATGATTTAAGTTTGATCCTATCAACCCTCTGTAAACACACTGGTACGGTTCAGAAAAACACATTTGGTATGTACTGAATGCTAAGCCTGTGGTTTCAGTGATCCACATCCATTGTCTCTTGAACATTAACTGAAATCAAACACCCACATGTCACCCTAACTCTGACCAAATCCCACCCAGGCTCACTGCTAGGACACTGTAAAGAGTGTACTGCAGTGTGATAGAGGGAAAAAAAACACGTACTCATCATTGTATCATGGGCCAGTGTGGATTACACTTAACAGTTTTATTTGGAATATTAAGACAATGAAGCATAAGCCAAGCACCAAGAGTGACAGCTACAAGTGTCGCATCATACGGCTCTTAAAAATGAACAGGTTATACTGGAAAACGACTTTTTTTTTCTCCTTGAATGGTGAAGCAGATACAGACGACAGACAGTTAAGTGTGAACATGATTATGCCATTTACAGGCTCCAAATCCTACCTGATAGCAAAAGAAATAAAAGACAAAAAAAAAAGAAGCGAGGAAAAGCAGAAGTAAATAGAATAGCGATATTCGTCTGATGACAGCTTGGTCAGCCTGTGGCAGTGGCTGCAGCCCAGGATTTAAAGGGCTCTTGTGATTGGTCAGAACGAATAAGGCAGTCTGGGAACACAGCGCTGCTGCAGAATGACAACCATTAGTTCCCATCATTGTCAAGTCCTGTTGCCTCGGCACCCACATCCACACAGCAACCAATGTGCACATACAGCATTAAAGTGACAGGATTGCAACCATTGTTACACTACACTCCATTGCATATTAGGGAGAAGTAATAATGAAAAATAATTCTTTCATACATCTTTTTCTGTTTGCATATAGCACTTACCCAGCTTTCTCAAATATATAATGGGAACATTAAAAAAAATTGCTTAAAATATCTTCTTTTTTTTTGTCCTCTAAGAGCTGAAACCACCAGTTGTACCGAGTCCAATATCTAGGGGTGTTGCTGTGGTTTAATGGGACAGCTAGCGACACAACCAGCCTGTCTCTCATCCAGACCAGACCCAGTGGTTTCTTACCACAAACGAGGCTCTCATAGTGCAGCTAAATAGTGTCACACTAATGACAATATAAGGTCAAAATAGTTCACTTCACGGCGTTTTCTTTTTCTAAAGAACATAATTTATACGTAAACACCCGTCTTTGCTTTCCATTTTGGGGGGGGGTGGGGTGGGGGCAACACAGAAATGTGGTGCTGGCTAAATGTGGTCCATGTTTACACATCACTGGCTTAGGATGGGGTGGTGGGAGGGTGTGGATGTGTCAATACCTGGGATAGTGCAGGTGTCAGAAGAAGTGTGACAGCAAGAGTGTGCACATGTATGTATTCTAGGCAGTCAATGCACCACAGAAGAATAAAACATCTTTTCATCAGGCTCCTATTACATAACTCCATCATTCATCATACATACAAGGTTGTACTTCCTACTAGATCTACGGGTTATATGGCAAACATGTGCTACGGTTAATGTCAGATATTTCCCATGGGGAAAACTGGGTTGAGAGGGTCCCGGGACTCTCCTTGCAATGGGCCTGCCTGAGAATATGGGGAGAGGGACGGGAGCAGAGAGGCATATGTTCATAGGAGTCACTGTCATCACCCCTCACAGTCGAGTCCACTCTGCATCCCCTCCACTGGAACCCTCCGCGTGGCTCTGTCCATACACTAATGCACACCCACACAACACACACAAGACTGCAGCATGGTGAATACAACTCCATCAACACAGCTTACAATGCCTGAATATAACTGAAATATTTCAGGACCGCTGGCTTTTTCTAAACACTCACACAAGTCTCACCATCTTGAGCTAAAACGCAAACAGCGCTGTCCAGAAATATTTGGACAGTTGTGCATTTTCAGTTGTTCTGGCTCTGTAGTGCAGCATAATGGTAATGACTATAAGATTAAAGTGCTAACACTCAGCTTTTAGTATGATGTATAGAATTGGCAAACAATGATCTTTAACATACAAACAAGGCTACCAATGAGGACCGAGTCACGTCAGACCTCAGTCCAAATGAGGATGGTTCTCCTGCTAAAGACCAAAACAAGCAAGAATAAAAATGACAACAGTTACAAACCTTACCACAAAGTGGCTGCTCATGTATGTGTCAGAATTCAGTAGTGACTAATTGCAAAAGCTGTTCAACCAAATACTAAATATGATGACTTACATTTGTTAAAGGTTATTCAATTTCTAAAAGCTGTACAATTCCTACCATGTATACCAAATATGGATACAAAGTTGTCACTAAGCCCAACGTAGTCATTTTAAAAACCAGGATGCTGGAATAAAGAGCCACTACAACAAAAAACATCACTGTCCTAATACTTAGGCTGCACTGTAGAACACAAATACACAATTAAAGTGCTATTTACTTCAACAGATCCCTAGCCCTCTCTGTGAGCACGCCGTTGCCACAACAGGAAGCCAGGGCTCTCAGTGAGCCAGCTCCATCTCTCCTCCCCCTGCTCCCTAATGTTAACTTCAGCCTGACATCGTCCTAACGGGGTTGGATAGAGAGCAGAGGGCAGGACAAACGGGCCTTAGTTCACTCTACACCACAGTCACCTTGACATCAGCACAGTGATGTTAGGGATGTGGCCAGATGGTGAGAGCGCAGTTGGATATAATAACAAAAAAGGCCTCCCTCAGCCACACAGCAGCCATAAGGCAACACAGAGCAGCCCTTTTAGTACCCAGTTAATTTATATCCCAACATGGTAAAATTAGCCTGTGATTAGTGCCTGCAAGTCGGGTGGGGCACTGTAAGGAGTGGTACTCTATTGCTAGGCAGTAGCATGATGGACAGGTGACAGTGAGCAAGATAGTATGTGTGGGTTTTCAAATAGATATACATGTCATCTCTCTCTGACTTTGTGGATCCTGAATCCTGAAACACTGAAGTGTGCATACAGGGAACTCATACGTCAACCCCGCTTAACACTCACTCCTGGCACTCGAACACATATAAGTGATTAACATGCGGTATTCAAGCTTTCTGAGAACAAAGTGCGGGTCAGTGGAAAATGTTTGGGACCTTTATGTGAGGAAATGTATAAATTCTGATTAATTCACAAGCCAGGGGAGAGAGTAAAAGGAGTTATTGGAAATATCAACTCTTATACCTACACCAATTATCTTTTACCACCTGCATAAAAATTGTTGTCAGCCTGACAAGTGAAAATACGATAATGGTTTGACAGAGAGGTGTTCAGTGCTGAATGACAGATTTCAGGGTGTAGGTGTGGGCCTGACAGTGCCAGGTTCTCCCCTATGGATATACTAACAAAAAAGAGTAGTCCAACATACTGTAGTACGGAACCAACTTTCACTTGTTTGTAAATCTGAAATCTAATTTAGATTAATTTTAAACAGCATTGAACACATTCATAAGCTTCAGCCTACAAGTTATTACACATAGCTGTGTGTAAGAGCTTTGGTCACAGACTCAGATATTCAGGGGCAAAGAAACACGACATTTGTTCATGATTCATCCTCACGGATGAGAACTACAATAACCTTTAACATATGTGCAGGCTGTTCAGACACATGATAAACACAAACTAAACAGATTAACCTTTCCAGTGATCATCAGCTCACAAGTGTTTCAGTTTTATTATTTTGTTTTACAAATTACCTGTGGGGGGTTTCATCTACAGCTAATTACATTCACATTAGAAATTGTTTTCTATAAATGCCTTAAGGGAGCCACGGCTTGTCTCCACCAATCTCATCCTCCCACAGTCATTTGCTCACATGTTCTATTAAAAGTCCAACTAATTACATTTCTAAAAGAGCTAAGTAATGTGTATTTACTACTAATTGAGAGTTAGAGCAAACAGCGTTGCTTATGAATTAAACACTGTTGCTGATGGCTAGTATAATCAGAATGTTGGACTATTCAGATCGAAATGCTCACAGTGAAGGGTTAACCTTCATGCTCTCATTAGGATGTGTATGTCAAGTTGCAGACTAGAAGCAACATGTGAGGGCTGGACATAACTTGCACTGAAATGTTACAGTAGGGCTGGCATTGGACCCACTAACCTAATACTACCACCATACAGGCCATAATGTGGCAAGAGACTAATGCATGCATTAGTGAGTGAGAACAGATGTAACTAATGTACAAGTTATTTCAATAATCTGTCATAGCTTAACCAAAATAGCACCACTAACATTTTATTGTTACAAAATCTTTGACGTGCACCATAATTGAGCTTAGAGCACCTCTTCATTATTATCATTTTAAATATTATTATTATTATTCTCTTCAGTCTCATTTCATGGCATCAGTGAGGACTGTGTTGAAGCATTTGCTGCTCCAGGTTTGGACTACAACGCAACTGATTATGGAACACAATAAATGGTTCTCTAAAAAAGGCACATAGGTTACACTTATTTTCTCTTCACAATGACAACACAACATAAATGACTGGCTAGCCAGCAGTGTTTATGTCCCAAGTCACACAACTAAAATCATTTAGATAACATCTCTTAAAGATCTTCTAACTTCTCGAGAGTAGAATGTTGCCTGCACTCAATGTTTTAATTAGGACTATAAATGCAACCGGGCAACGAGGGCATTTGTTGGGGTTGAGACCTTATAGTAATATCTTATAAAAGCAGGGGACATCAAATCCTCAGAAAAGACTGTCACCTCTTTCCGTTGGTAACACAGTTCATAAAAACAGCTCAACACATTTTAAAACATTTCATAAAAGAAATATAAATTATTGAGGAAAAGAGTACTGCCATCTTATCATGGGAGTTGTAACTGTAGTTCACAATTCTGTCTTATTGAGTCTATTTGTTGAAGTATCATGTGATGTTAGCCATCCTCCTCATTTATGATCTATATGGTGTCTTCCATGAAACAGCCCATTCACAAACAAGCCTCACAAGTATGAGCAGATCATCTCGAGTCATGGTTAAAGGGACACTGGCATTTTGAACTGTCACCATTTGTCTTCACCTACCACTTGTCACATGTACCCTCAAGCCTTGACTTGTCAGCATTCCTTACTGTAACCAGTAAAGTGCAAAGCCATCTGCACCAATGTCACAAGTGTCTGGTAAAGAAAAATAATGAACTAGGATACACATGGTCATAAAAGGTTTCTGTATGCCAGATGCCACCAAAAGGTGGTAACTGAAAGAAGCAGGTGTAAACAATATAAAGCCATAACACAATTCCATAAAGACACCAGACTGCTCAAATGTTACTCTAGGAGCTACATTTCGTACAAGAAGAAATTAAATGTGTGCATATATGCACAATAGTGTGCACAGAGCTGAAATGCCTGTGGCCAGCAAAGAACTAACGCACTGCTTTGACAACTGTAACACTGGAAAGAATCGTCAGAATATTTCCTTAGAATCTGTCCCTCCTGTTTTGAAAGCAATTCTGCACTGTTGGAATAAAGTTGAGCTTGCTCACAAAATCATTCGCCATTACTGCTAGAGTTTCTAAAAAACAACTATAGCTCTTCATTTCCCTGATGTGCTGTCCTGAACTGTATGGACCCCTCTCAGAATCTGCCCCATCTCTGGCTTAGCTGATGTGTGCAAAGAGATGGCAAAGGATGTGCCTTATGCAGCTCTATCCATAGGACAAGCTCTGACTGCAAAATACAAATAGCACCTCCAGGTGCCCTCTCAACCTACACACACCTTAAACCCCTTGGGTAGGTGCTCCACTAGGTGCTTTGACAAATTAAGGAAAAAAAAAAAAAAATATAGAAAGCACAAAGTGAACTGTACAACATAGCCATGTGGGCCTAAACAGCAATTTGGGATGATTAAGGAAGGCATGCGGACAGGTCTACAGGCAAGGTGATGTCGTGGGATCAGGCAGACATTTAGCACAAATCAGGAAAGAAAAGACACAAAGCACTGATATTTGTGCCTTCCCTCCATGTCAAACCAACCTGCTCAACACAAAAACATGTGCTTGCCATACAGCGTTATACTGAATATAATCATATGTATTTTCTGTGATGTAAGTAATAACTAAAACAAAGATTAGAATGAATCTTGTGTAGCTTGTTACATTTAAATTCCATCCCACACCAGAAAGAGAGCCATGTCAGTATAGCCTCTTTATTGGCTAATGAAGAATTTGTCAAGTTCTGTAATCCTCCTGCAGTGTGTGTACAGGCAATGGAGAAGCCCACCCTATTTGACCTTGAGTGGCGGTTCCCTCTCCAGCCAGCGAACTCGTACTTTCTGTTTATAGTGATACTCCTTGAGGAAGTCCTGCAGGGCAGGGGGAAGCGGCAGAGAGCCTATACCATCGTAAGTGGTCCAGCGGCAGATGGCGGCCCGTGCCAGGTGCTGCAGGCCAAAGGGAAAGGTCCGATGGAGAGGTGTTGTAAGCAGCGGTTCAAAAAACATGCAGGCGCTGGGGTCCTTGTAGTGCTCCAGCAGTCCTGTGACGGTGGAAGAGTGGAAAACACAAGGGTCATGAGCGTCAAAGCTGAAGTTGTGGTTCCATTGCTCGATGCGGGCGTGCAGTGAGCGGTTGTAACGGCGGAAGCTAACGGAGAAGAGGTAGTCCTCTTGGGCTGAGTCACGCAGCAGGAAGGTGCCCTCTGGGCGTCCATCCAGCAAAGCCTCAGCCTCGTAGCGGTCCATCACGCCCCAGTAGCAGGGCAGAGCTGTGATCTGCAACAGGTCCGGTACCAGGCAGTGGATGTAGTCTATCTGGGTGTGAACCTTCCAGGGCCCAGGTTGCTGCCGGCTCAGGTGACCTTCCCCAGAAGCGTGCCTCTGCTTGGGCCTCCTAGCCTGCAGACAGAGGGTGGTCGAATCCTCCTCAGAGTCACAGTCCTGGGCTGACACTGCAGCCCCCAACACCTGCCCACAGGCACCTGATGATCCAGCACCCACTGAGTTGCCAGTCCCTGAGGCCCGGCCTTCCCCAGAGGCCTCTCCCATGCCAGGAGCCATCTTTGGTCCCAGTTTGTAGAGAGAGGAGCCTGGCACTGAGGCCTCTAGGGTGTGGATCTGTGCATTAGGCGGTGGGTCCACACCTTCCTCAATGCTAAGTCTGCGGCGTTCACGCAGACGTTCCTCCTCATCCTCAGGCGAGGGGTGGGCTGGGTCAAAGGCATCCAGAAGGGCAGTGGAGGAATGCGGGCTGACCGGTGCTGTGTGTTGCTTGATCAAGTGCCACTTGTGAGCAAGGTCTGAACCTGGTGGGAAGGGGCAAGTCTCCAGCATGAGCTCTGTCAGGTGAATCTTACGTTTGGAGGTTACAGGGTTCTTAGATGAGCGAGTGTGTCTGCGAGGGGGCAGGGGTAAGCACAGCCCTACTGTATCACTTAGCCGCTGGCGCAAAGACCGAGCATTCAGACTGCGTCCTCCAGATACAGAGTCGCTCATGTCCTGGATGGAGCACACTCCATAACGTCTGTCCCTACGGTTCCCACTTCCCCGTATGCGCCCAGACCGCCTATCTGCTTCCAGAGAGCTCTGGGTTTTGGTGGAACATGAGTGTTTTTTCTTGCCCCCCCATGGAGCATGACGAGAATAGGAGTCTCTCCGGGCCATGGGAACCCCCCCTGAACCCTCCCGCACATCCTCAGTGTCCTTGTCGATAGTGATCTCTACAATCTGAGGGATGTCTGACACACAGTTATGATGGCGCCGTCCTGCTGTTGCCATTGGCACTGGCAGGAGGCTCCGTGATGGACTGGAGGATCCTGATGCCTGTGCCTCACCTGAGCTGCCACCTTGGCCAAGATCCACCACACAGTGGACGGCATCGGCCTCAACCCTGTTTTCACTGGGTGCTGAACTGTTGTTGTGAAAGAGTGTCTGACATTTGTTCTTCAGGTTGCTCCACATGTTGCACACTTTCTTCATCAATAGGAGCCCCTGGGACCTGAAGATAACAGGAGATAAAACTGAAGTCACAGATGGAGAAATCTCACAACAGTAATGGCAACTACATTTAACACTGAGGTACAAGCTACATAAAGAATGCCCAACATTTGAATTCCCCAGACTACTGTGTATCTAGTAATTAGACATGGTGAGAGTATAATGGGGCCAAAGTGTCTGAGAGGTGGGTGAGCTTGAGAAGTTGGAAGAGCAGAGTTAGGAGTTGCCAGGCAGACGTGCAGGGACACAAGGCCACAGCTATAAATGAACCCAGGATCTGCTCACAGCTGATCTGCTGCTATGTACTGTATTACAGAGCCAGTCTAGACCTGACCAAAAACTTTCCCTGTAACAGCAGCAGACAGGGCACATGCACATGCACACACATGACGTTGATTTATCACTACTAGACTATTTGACAGGGATTTGGAAGTTGTAGCACGAACCTAAGTTCAATCTATGCAAACTTTACAGTGAGCAAAGTCACCACTGGTAGGTGGCCTGCAAAAACACAAAACCTTGAAGAATTTCATTACGCAGCACTTCCTTCCACTGTTTCTTGACTTTTATTTTAATTATTATGTTTGATTATGAAGTACGTAGATTTGCATAACGTGCATCTGCAGGTCCGATCTAAGCAGGTATTCCACTTTCTTTCTTTTTTTTAAAACTCGCCTATGACATTCTAACATTTGGGAAAATTTTAGAGACCAAACAATTTTGCTTTTTGTTTTTTTTACAGCTTCGATGCACTAACATTTGAAGCAAAAGCATCCCAGAGTTTTTGCAACGACCCAGCACTTATTTACTTTATGTCCCCACATAAGCAAGATCTATTAGGATTGTCAACACAAGGAACTACGTTTCTTTTAGTAGTAGTCATTTAAAATTGTTTTTCTAAATATTTCTTTATCACCCCCATGTTAAAAGTAATGTCTGCGCTGCTGTTGTGGTAACATTATGTTACGCCACACATCATCTCACATTTTTTATTTTTTCTGTTTACTTTGACAGACATATTTGAATGAGAAAGTGGCTTAATTAGTAGTTTTTATTATTATTACTATGTGCAACATGTTTTTCTTTTTCAGGATAATGGTTGAATAAAATATTGAAATATTAATGAGACAAGTTTTGATATTTATTTTGAAAAAATTATATTAAACAGTAATAAAAAACATCTTTAGAATAATCGATAATTAGCTACTTTAATAAGCAGCATGAAAGCATTGACCACTAAACACTGACTTTATCCATAAGTAAAAGCTGCAAGCAGCATATCATACAATACTGACATTATCAAACACTCCAATTAGGAAAGTTTAAATTTAAACCCAAACCCTGTTAGCTTAGTATATCGCACATGCAATACATGCTAACAGCTACCAAGGATGTTAGGCCCTCTGCAGCTAGTCTCCCTTATTCCCTCCCAATTATTTTCTTTACCATCTATTTGTGGGCTAAAAACACCCAACTACCAGGCATCATGTCGACCTGCATGTAGAGTGAAGTTTGTCTCTTAATATTGACAAGACATTATGGATTTGCACAGTCAACTGTGATAGACAAGGGTTCTGTGATGCACAGGAAAGCAGACTGGTCTTCAGCACATGACTGATTAAGTTGACTTGCTGAGGGCAGTTCCAAAGCATCCATATCAAACTCATGACGTCAGCGTCATCCCCCTTTACTGACGTGCTTTGTACTAAAAAAAAGAAAAGAAAAAAAGACGTCTCTCCACTTGACATTATCATTAGATGTTTGCGATACATCTGCCAACAACTACTTCTGTTATTCTTATATAACTTGCATTTGTTTATTACTTATTTATATATTTCTACATCTATTTATGGCAACTGTATATCTGTCTGCGTGTACCACCTTAACACCAAATAAAATTCCTTGTATGTGTAAAACACTACTTGGGAATAAAGCTCCTTCTGATTCTGATACAATAGCCATAAGGACTCAGCCTTGATGCCCGGTATGTGCTCTACCAGGTGAGCTACAGGTTGCCCCAATAAGACATGATTTCTACACCTGCTATTTAACACCAAATGCCAATTCAGCAGACTAAGTATTAAGAATAATTTCCCTGATGCCTTCATCATTGTAACATATGTATGCAGCAAAGTTGATTACCATTAAAAACTATGTTTGGTTCAAATTACAATCACTAAACTTGCTTTCAAATGATTTGATTCAAAGCTGTGTTTAAAACTTCATCTCTGTTAAACAAAATCACACACGCACACACTTCTTAACAAGTTTAGTGCTGCTAGCTGTGACACAGAGTTATTTTGCAACTATTTGATATTCATACTTTCTCCTATAATATGGCTACATTCAAATACCATGATCATTCATAAGCATAAAAAATACCAGAGGAATGTACTTATATTTGAAACGTTAGTAATTTTAGAGTGCAAGTATTGCTGTTGGTATTGCTTGTAGTGTTGCAGTGACAGTATGCCGATTCTTATCTCCTGTCTACAACATCAAGCAAAAATACGTTAACAAAAATGGCGTGCTGTTACAGATATTTTATAATAAAACTTGCATGACATTAATCAATTTATCATTGTTTTTATTATTGTGTTAGTTACAATAATGAAATGGGCTAAATTAAATAATTTAATTTAAATACCAAAATGAATGACATGATGCAGTCACTCAAGATTTCTATTCCTGCTTCCACACATTCTTATTCCACATGTGGTCTTTTTATTTACCTTCTGATATGACCAGGGTTATGTGTTTTCAATGAAAGAATGGGAGCACATTCACATTGTCAAATGTAAATCACTTTACACTGTGACCCCTAGATGATAAGTAAGTGTGGGATATTGAGCAATAGTAAAAGCAGTAGTCACTATAAACTTGTTAGATAAAGCCCTGCAGGTAATGGGAGCTGACACCAGTTAAGGCGAACTCAAACACGTCATCAATGTAAGCAACACCTTTTATTGTACCATTCCTATTGTATGGAAAACCACTGGCACTGTGCCCATAGCACAGGCTCAGATTATGGTTTCCCACGTTATGGCAAGTACTGTATGGAACTCAGCTGTCCTAGGGATGCACAAATAATGTTGTGCCAACTGAGAACATCTTGATTAAGCTGTTAACTAAAAGTGCAACAATTAGAGAATTGTAAATTTTTAAGCAGTTCAGTCCACAACTGTTTATTACTTCAATAAGACAGTCTGAGTGATGATTTAAATTTATCAAAACATATTCTTATAATGCTGCCCCAATGCACTTCACCACATCTGAATATAATACCGATACCGACCTGCTAAATCTGCTAAACTAAAACAAAAGCAGTGCATCTCTTCTTATAATACCACATACATATTAAGTGCAGTGCAATTATTTAAGTATAATTTCAGTATGTTAGCTCAAAAGCATACAAACTGTCTTTAAAATTCTTTGGGCTCGAACTACTTAACTTAAGACAGGCAAGCAAAGGAGCAATATGGCTCAAGAAATGTACTTGAACTGACTTGTTGAGCCAGTTTGATTTTAGATAACAAAACAGGCAAAGAACTGCCCCGCATTTGTCAAAGTTGTACAAGCACAACCTAAATTTGGCAGCATCTGTCTCGATTCTGTAATTGTATGACCAACATATGGCCGTCTTCCCTCCAAGACAAACTGGAATTGTGAGGCTAATGTTTTATCAGCTTCATCTTGAGAGGCTGGATTTTCCATCCGGGTTGGTGTGTTTTATCCCTCAGCAAAAATACAATGAAATGTTCCAGTGACAAAGACACAAGGAAAAGGGGTCAGGATCTCCAAAATGTTAATTGTGGCTATAATTAAAATACACCTAAAACTTTACTGTTGCCACAAGTTAACAAACCCATTAAGTATAAGCAACAATGAAGGTCCAATAATGAACCATGACAATAGGCATATCTGAATTATTACAAATGTGAGGGAATGACTACTGACAACCCAAAACTCTGCTACAATGTTAGTTAGCTAATCTGCCCTGTGTCCTCATTAGCATGGTTCAATTCTTATCAGACTTCTAAAACTTTTGGCAACGCTAAGTTTAGTAGTAATCAGACATTTTGCAGCAAAGCACGAAAATTTAACATTCAAACATGTAGTGACAAGTTATAATTAAATTTAATTCTTACTCTTATGATTTATGAAACATAACCTAGAATTTAAGTTTTATCTACTTTTAGTCTACAGCAAGGCACACAGATTTTTTCCAAGTATTAGTGCTGATCGGCCAATCCAAGATAAATTTTTTAAACAATGGCCTCCAATATAATTCAGACTCTCACCATTGATAACAATGGCCACACAAATTGTGTGATCCAGTCCACAACCATTTAAAGCTGCCCTGAATCAGAACTATTCTAGTAGTTCTGCTCTCTAGCAGCCCAACACACCCATTCTCCTGGGATCATACTGATCTAAGAGACGGCTGGAGAGAAGACAAGATTAAGGGAGGAGGCCATCACTGCTCAGACCAGAGTTAATGAGATATTTGCAGTGTCTTGCATTCTGAAAGATATGTGGGATGGCAGAAAGCCACACACGGTCTGTAAATGATGGATAAATCACACTGATTCTTCCTATCTTTTAACAAATATTAAAACTTTGAAATAGAAGGATTGATTTGGCAAATAAAAAAAAATCTGTTTTTTTCCCACCCAACCACAAAAAGGTGCAGGTGTGTATTTTTGGCTATGAATAAACCTTTCAAAACAGAGGCAGAATAGGCACAGTAAAACATATTCCTGCAACTTGATACTGAATTGTTGTTCAGCAGTTCATCAGTGTTTAATTATTCTGCCACTGTTTAGCTCTGCTAGTTGTTTGTGCTCACTAATTAACATTCAAGTCAGACAGAAGAATAAGTAACTAACAGTCAAGTCAAATTAACTGCAGAAACGTACCTCAACTTGTATTGTAAGACAAACGCTCTGTAGAGTTCATGTTAACTATTTTACCTTAAGTTATCCCAAAAATACTAAACTGTTTTAGCTGAATATGATCTTGTTAGACAGATTAACGTGGACAGTAAAGTGTAGTTTACTAACGTTAGCTAACGTTACCATGACACATTACAGGTATGTTTTACCACTCACATAAATAGAAGACACACTACAACTACAGACATATAACGTTATTATTGCTGATGTATAGAAATGGTTGGAAGGCCTTTATGTTTCTGGAGGCCCCACTTTTCCCTGGAGCCAAGTTAGCGGATTTGCTAACACGTTAACCTTACACCGCTAAATGCAGCTACAGCCACGAAAGTAAGGTTAGCCAAGTTGGCTTGGTGACTTCAGTCAAATTTACATTATTTTCCAGAAAAATATTTGAAACTGCGTTCTGTTGGCTGACAACCGATTTAGCTTACATGCACACCGCTTAGCTAACAAGCGGTTCTGGCTTACGAGTTAAAAATGTCAGAAATGCTAACTGTTAGCATTCCCTAGAGTGGGAGTTTCTAGCATTTTAGTTAGCTTTGGCTAGCCAGCCAGCTAGCGGGGTTAGCGTGTTAGCTAGAGAAAAATCGACACAAAAATTGCACAAATAAAAAGTGGTGCTGTGTGGTTTCAAGATGCGGAGTAGTCAAATGTGAAGTGTTTGACAAGTACATTAATGGGTTGTTTTTCGTATTCATATCTTACCCTTGTGCCTTCTGAAATCCCTATTCAAAAGCTCTCTTTGTCTGCAAAAAATGGCTATTACGAGGAGTCAGGCATACATCCCCCTTGCGGACCACGGTGTCGGATGAAAGCACTAAAGGTAACGTTACTTGAATACTTGATGGTATCATCCCGAATACTTGAAAAATAATCAGTTAAATACTAATCAAAATTATTTAAAAGGCTAAATTATTCTTTAAGTTCCGCGAAAGCCCGTTCTTCATCATGGTGGGGGTCTTCTTTTCGGCCGTGGTCGCTGCTGCTTCTAGCAGCCAATATGACAGCGGTCTCACTAGACACAGAGCCGGAGAGGCGGACGGTGTTCAACGTGAGGGAAACCGACTGGCAGCGGCTCAGTCCAATGGAGGAAAGGGACAAGACGGCTATTTCCGACGCAGCACGCGGATAGGGAATGCCCCGGAGCTGGTTCCGCGTGATGGGCGCCTCGTGTCACCAATGAACGGAGAGAGGAGGATGAGGCTTTCCACTGGCAGCTACTTGGAAACGTGGAGAGGTGAAGTGATGCTGGTGGTGTTGCTCAGGCCAGGCCGGACCAGTGACTCACTGATGTCATGCAGGTAAGAAGGTCATGCAGCTGGGCTCCGCATCAAGTGATCGGGCCCCAAGAACAAAGAGGAGCAATTTTATTTCACAAATATTTCAATCTCTGTATAAGAATAATTACAATAATCACATTACCCTCAATAAATGTCCCTATTGTAGTCATAGTCAAGGCTGGAACCAACTGGTCAAGACAGGCAACTGTGCTGGGGCCCCTGAAAGCTCCAAGCTTACTGTTTGTCAAATACTTCCTATGTTTCATATTTCTAAATTTATTTGTATTTAATTAAATTTACAATACATCATGAAGCTGGGTAATATTCCAGTATAGAAAAAGTGTACCCAAATCACTGGCAGTGGGAATAAATGGGGATTAGGTGGGACCAAAGTCCTTTATCTGTGCACAAAGTAAACAAGTAATAAATGCATTTATTTGTGGAAGTGTCAGGGTGGAAAAAACTAGTGTCCCCCTGTAGAATGACATTTGGCATTATATAGCCCAGACATGTGAATATGTGTCATAGCCTGTACCAAAGAAAATCTTAGAACAATCAAAACGTCTCAAAGGAGCATTCAGAGTCACTCGCACCCACACATGAGATCATCTCCTGGAGTCGGATCATACATGAGCACATGATACCAGGAGTAATGGGAAGTGGAAGTGGTGTGAGTAATGTAGTAGTTAGCTTGAGCTAAGGCTGAGTTCAGGGGAAATCACCAGCAGTCCGTACACATTAGCTTTTACATCTCCAAGATGCTGATCTAATTTGTGCTTATGAAAGGAAATGAAAGACAATTGCATTAGCACTGATCCTTCTGCCAGGGGTGATTCACACTATTTGAGTCTCCTTTGTGTCATCTGCAAGCAATCCACTGTGAGGATATGATAACTTACTACTGTGTCCAGGGTGAATGAGTGATTCCCTTGGATCTGAAAGAGAGAGGTCTGATGAGAATGCCACAGTCTCACATCAGTTCTGCTATAAATGTGAAACATGTCTTTAATAAATACAGCAAAGTGTCCCGGCCTCCACACCTGACTATTTATAATAAGGAGTGTTTACATTTTTATACAGTTAGACTGCTTTAAATACGATTTGTAAATGATTAAAGCAGCAGTTGGTGGCATTTATTCTGCCAGGATAATTTTGAAAGTTCCAGGTGAGGTGTCACAACTACGAATATCTTTGTTTCTTTTTTTTCTATGTCCTTATTGAACTTGTATGTTGCACACCGCTGAAGAGCTGCTAAACATTATTACCCTGCTTTGTGGGCATGACAATAAAGATCTATTCCATTCCAAAGTGTGTAGTAACTTCTAATTTATTGTAGCAAGCAAATACAAATCATAAGTGCTGACAGATAGTGTTTGGGCATGGGCAGTCACTCACTACCAAAATAGATTTGGATACAGATCAGTCATGATATTGGATAGATGGCTAGACCCATGGTAGGATGTTAAAAAGTACATGAGGATTATTTTGTGTGGTGTGCAGATCATATTTTCATATTCAAATCATTATTTAACTTACATATACCTAAAAGTGTATTTATATGGTAAAGTAAATGTTTTGGTGGTATGTCAAAAGAAATGATGGCCACCCTTTAGCAAATTATGTTGAATTACAGTTGGATAAAGGTATTGTTTGGTCCAAAATCTCTCTTTACAATGATTAACAGTTTATTTAACCATGTCAGATAAGTACTATCTTAATTCTTATTATGTTTTTTTTGCTTTTTGATCTGACCTCTTCCTGAATGATTCAAAGAGTGTTGTTCATATTCAGTTTGCTTAATTTTTCTTTTGAGAAATTTTGTTTTTGAGAGATAATGTATATATATAATCTATTTTATTCATGGAGCAGTCTTTGTATTGTAATTGTGACTTATTTTATTGCTCTGTCTGGATATCAGACATTGGCGCCTCAAAAAAGATTAAATAAATAATTAAATAAATTCTGGATTAAAAAAAGGTTTTAATTGACTGAATCAATAACTGAGTTTTATGCCACTAATGATGTGATGTTATTCAGGAATTACGGAAGAAAGTAGTAGCTTGTATTCAGAGTACATGTAAAAAAAAAAAACATATATATATATATATATATACAGACTCATGAAAAAGTGATTCAGAATTATTTTTACAAAATCTGTTCTGTTTTACATGAATTGTATGAATCTAAATGTTTATCTTGGAGTAGTTCATGTAGACACAGGCAAGCTTGCCCTCTTGTGGCAGTAGGGTGGAAACAAAAATGCATCAACATCCAAATCACATTTTCTGATCCCTGTTGTCCCAAAACCCCTTGTAGTTATTATCATCTTCATACTTTTAGAGTGGCATTTGCTAATCAGGTAACATTTTATTACACTGTCATATTGTTGCAGTGTTTTTGTCGTCTAAACATTTGGTGATTGTCAACAGTGATATACAATAAGATTTTAGTAGGTCCTTTTTCAAGTATATCTGTGCTTTTGAAGTGTTGCGTTTAACAATCAATATAGATTGTGAAAAGCTACACAAGACAAACACAAGAGTGAGGAAGCAGATCAATGAAGCAGATTAAGGAAGAAAGAATTCAATAGGACATAACTTACAACATTAGCAAAAGGGGAAAATGTGAGATCAGCTAAACTCTTCCAGCTGAACTGATCAGCCAGATAGCAGATGAAGAACAACAGAACTCTATGCATTTGGGTTGAGGGCTAGAGGGAAGTCACTTGAGGAAGGCATATGACAGCACCCTGGAGCTTGGGAAAACCCACACTCCAAAAGTACAAAGATTATGTGGTATGATGGATCAAAAAATGTGTTAGCTGTACTGTAAAGCCCTACCCCGCCCTTAATATAGAATAAAAAGTTATATGGTATGTACTATATGGAATTTCTGTAGAGGTGAATTACCACTAAGCTATTTAAGACATTTTTATCCCTACATGCGTCACACGTGTACAGTGTGTCTGATGACACAATTAACACCATGCAAATAATATACCACAATGATAGCAACCATGCATTATTAGGTTATTTTGTCGTTTTATGGCTTTTCATGATTGTCCCAATTTATTTTCATATTTATGTCACCAAAGAAGCCTTTCAAGTAGAAGTACCTTTAAATAAGCAAATATAGTACAAGCCTAAAGAATTCACTGAATTTACTGCAGCATCGTGGCAGTCAGCACACCAGCCCTTAATAGTGCCTACGCAGTCATGCCTCTCAAGATAAAGTGATGAAAAATCTTTAATTTTAGAAAATTTTAAAAGTAGATTTGTGTAGATACTAGCTGCCCTTTGAAGCACATGGCGGTCAGAAGGGTGAGATCTGATCTTGTGCTGAATAGGATACATAATATAAATTTGATGCGCTGGTTTTCACTACCTCAGGCTGAGTGACATCAAAGGTAAAGCAGTTAAAGTGATTCATTGTCAGTTAAAGATATACACACCAGCCGCATGTGTCATGAAGCAGTTTGGAAGTTGGACGGTTTTACAATAACTGACCTCTTTTACTCAACATTTACTAAATCAAGCACACCCAATTAATGTAGCATCACTGTTTTATTCATTCTGACTTGTGGGTAAGTCAAAGGCTAATGACATTACTGTAGATGTTAGTGTGAAAAATGGTCAACTTGTCCCAGTCCATTAGGTCTACATATCATGTGCCAACAGTGTAGCTCCAGCGAGTCTGTATTGAATCACTCTGACCTACCAGTACTACTCTTTGCCTGAGTGTGTGTGTAGCCAGGAATACTGGCTTAGATTAGTGTTGGAGTGGAGAATTCAAAATTGTTGAACGATGCTAGAGGTATCTCATGTATGGTTTAAACTCATTGGAGCTGTTTTATGAGGTGAAGGATACATTTCATCCAAATGTGTCTCCAGCAAGCAAATGTTTTTACCAGCAAGTACAGAAAACAAAATGATGCACATGCATAAGACATGCAAGCATGAACACAACAGTTACCAATGCAGGCCACCATGCAAGGAGTCATAGTATTGAATGAAGTAATAGCCAATTATGTTCATTCAAAACCTTATTCATTGGGGAAAAAAAATTTCATGTGTCCTTTTAATATACATACCCTGAGAGGTGGAAATAATGGTGAAAATAATGGTGATTTTTATTTCGAACACTTTCACCTGCCAAAACTTCAAAAAATGATTCTGGCTTTTTTCAGTCATAAGTTGTAAACACAGGAGAGAAAACCATTTAAATTTAAACCATTTAAATTAGACTTAGGAAATGGACCACCAGAGTATATTCTTTTCGCTTGCCTCTAAGCGCTTTCATACAAATAGTTTCATTTGAAAAGAAGAAATGCAGTAGTTGGTAGTCTCAAATATCACACTCACAGTGTTAACAAACACACTGGTGGTCAATTGCTTGCAATTTTTAAAACATTACTTTTTGTTACAAACCTACTCACCTAATTAACTCAGTATTTTGGTTAACATTGTCTGGGCTAAAATAACTTTTTCCCTATTAATCCTATCCTGATAGATGAAAAATATTGCAAACACCAAGAGGTGAGTTTGATCCCTGGACCTGCAGGGCAAATCTGATTATGGAAAGTGAAAGAGCAGCCTTTGTTTCAGCCTCATTACCACCACTGAGCAAGGCCCTAAACCCCAACTGCTCCAGTGGAGCTGCTCAGTGGCTAACAGATTAGACTGTGGTTGCACTGGGCAGCAGGTGTGACAGCATTGCTCTCAGCAAAATAAAGTTTAAAGACGATCCTGCATAGTGTATGTCACCTAGAAATATAGCATTGGACACTATTGTTTGTTAGATTATGGTTCCTTGCATATTAAAACTGAGATAATCCTGTTCGCCATTTATATTGTATGTTACATGAATATGTGTGATTTAAAATGAGCTAAGGGGAGTGTCACACCTGTACTGCCAGAGC